GGGTATCCAATCGATCTTTCCTTCCTTTACCTCCCGCGGTAATCCGGTTTTCTAGCCATATTCACTGGTGGAGGCTCGTCATCCACTGGATAGGGTAGGGGCGACGAGCCAACAGGACGACGGCCTCCGGCTGCCTGATGTTCCGGGAGTGGTGTCTTGGGAGGCAGCGGTGGTGGAATACGCTGTGGCTGTTGTGACTGCTGGACCGGACCGTTACTGTAAGGCTGGTTCTGCCATCGTGGATGTTCATCCGGGCTCATGATAGCAATCTTATCAGCGCCTGCTGCGTAGCGATACTGCGCTGGGGTGGGCGCAGTGACAACAAGTCTATCAATCTCATCGTCCTTCGCCGGGGGTAGGGGCCGTTGCTCGGGCCGTGGTGACGACGATGGTTGCAGCCGTTCGCCGGAACTTCTTGGTGAAGGACTCATTGGTGAGGGAATGTGCAAGTGCTCAGAGCCAGATTCGTAAGACTGACGGCTGGGCGGTGTGTTGTGTGGCGGCCACGATGTAGGAATCTCGGCTGGCAATTCTACCGCAAACGACATTGGCTCAGTCGTCTCCGAATTTGACTTGACCAGTTCAGGGACTTCTGGTAGGCGTGAGAACCTAATGTTCGCTTTGTGAATCTTGGCCATCTTCGCAGAAGCACCTTGAATCATTTTCTGCTCGACCTCTCGCCTCAGGTATTGCCGTGTGCTCGTGCTGATTTCGGCCAGGCGATGCCATTCGTTCATACCAAACTCGCCGACGCCAACCTCCACATTAAGACGGTAGTAGTTTTCGACGTTGACGTTCCGCTTCAATAAGTGCTCTTTCCTCATTTGCTCGTGGATAGCCTCACATCCCTCAATCTTGGAGATAAGCTTCCGGCGAGCTTCCGCAAACTCTCCCAGGAAACCTTCGTACCACATCTGGGAGTTTGCATCACTTCCTTTGGGCCGTCTGCCGGTACCAACGCTGAGAAACACGCCGACTTCGCGACCCGGCCATTCGTTGACTACGGCTTCGTCAAGAGCCTCGGGAGAAGGGTTGAAGGTGCCGCCACCGTCATCGTGAAAAACGGACTGCCCGATTTGAATGGGCTTGAAGGCTAGGCCGATCGCACATGTCGCTCGTCCAGCCTGCCAGATCTTGCAGTCGAACTCTGGCGGAGGCTCTCTTCTCGAATCGTAGGATCGCAGTACGGCGGCGGGGTTGCCCTTGCGGGAACCTTTGTACATTGCCAAGACGGCGCTGAAGGGAAATGTCAGTTCAAAGCGCGTTGCTACGTGCCTGGCAGAGTACCGGCAGCCAGTAGGTAAAGACGTACGTTTTAGTCCTGTTCTCCCTTGCGTCGTAAAGTCTCGCGTTTGGGTCACCGTACCGCGAGTTGAAGGCAGGGCGTGCCATCTGAGCCTGGGGGCTACGTGCGCTGAAGCTGACAGTGCTGGCGTTGCTTGCATGCCTCCGGGGATTTGAGGTGTTGTAGCCGCTGAGAGGGCTGAGAACATCGTTCTCGGTGCCGTCATTGCCCTCTTTTTGATACACTGTGTGCTCCCTCACAGCCTCCTTTATAGCCTCCTCAAGCTTGGAGGCCTTGAAGAGGGTCGAGCGGTAGGGAATGCCGGCGATAGTTTTGTCGGTTTCGAAGACCATGCGCGTCAACCTAACGTAAAGTTCTTTGCACTGCTCTAGATCAAGGCGCAGTCGACCGAGCATCAGGGCTATAAGACCGCCGGTACCGGTTCCTACGATGAGGTCGAAATGATCGCAAGGCCGAGGGATTTCGTTTCGCCGCGGGGCTCTCCCCTCGATCTCGACAAAGGTACGGTGCATGAGTTCTTGGAGAATGATAAACATGGAGTAACCACGGACTCCTCCGCCATCTGTCATAGGCATGTTAGCATGAGCGCTTCCGGGCCAGTTTCGCGGGTTTTGCGCGCGATTTGGGTGTCGCGAAAGTGGCCGGTCTGCTTCACTTTGCTTACCTAGAGACAGAATGCGTAGGGGAGGGCCCTTTGTGGTGTCCCTCCTCCTGACCCCATTGGAGTCCATGATCTGGGCAAGCTCTCGTGGGTAAGCTGGCTTGGTCGCGATCCACCGGGCTTCTTGATATTGGTGTGGGGTATCGGTTGTCGTTGAGAAATGTCTATTGGCGGTCGCAAAGTGTTTGGTTTTTCGCAGAGGGTTTGATGTTTTCTGCGAGATGCGAAAATTAGGAATTTCGGAGAAGATGGACTAGTACTGTAGGTGCAAGTGTGTAAGTAGGTAATTAGTTTAGGCAAAGCAAGGCAAGGCGGGTAAGGCAAAGTGCAGATGGTAATAATCCACCGCCCACCCACGAATACAAGTACAAGGTCTGATCACGAGTGGGAGGGTGACGCAAAGAAACGGCTTGCGCCCTGCACCATCCACTCGGATGGGGTCTTGGCCAACCCTGTCACTTGCCCACTTTGTGGAGGATGGACTCACCACTTGTGGTCACTCTACCGATGATTAGCAGAATGTAGTCGCATTCGCAGCTTGGGCCGGAAGATGGGCGAAAGTCTGAAGATGGTCGGCTGGTAGCGATTGGGATGGCGATGGCTACGGGGAGCAAAACACCCCAGTGGGAACCTGTATTCGACCTGAGAGTCCGCGACTGCGTGTGACGCCACAGTAGCTAATTTAGAAATCGCCCAGGGTATTTTAGCGACTTAAGGATGGGCACGAATGGAAGGCCGCCGTTGCTCCTAGGCCCATTGTCCTGGCTCCCTCCCCTTGTGGTGTCAGCGAGTGGGAGGCGGGAGTGAGATCCAACTAGGTTAGGATCTTCTCTTTGACGAGGCACCGAGGGGTGCCTGGACCGTAGAGCTCCGACGTGGGTGCGTTTTCGCAACACGGCGAAGGCGAGATAATGGGAAGGTGATATCTTTCTTGCTCTCAATATCTGTTCGAGTTTGTGAGGGCGCCGACGCGAAGTGAAAAAGGGAATCGGGAGCACCGGCAAGAGAATGTGGTGAGAGGCAAATAATAAAAGTGGGAGATGGAAAGAGAGACTGGGTGGTGGGATGGAAGGTCCAAGATACCCCTCTAAGGTAGTGTACCTGCCTCGGGACGACGGGATGGGATGGTCGGATGGAAGTTTGGTCCTTCTTCCCTCTACCATTTCTGCATCATTCTTTCTCATTTATCTGAGAGAGCGAACAGCCAAACTCATGTTCTGACCACAAACGCAAGCGTAACTGCTGTACCTCGAGGGTAAGGTTAGTAAGGTAAGCCCAAGTATACAAAAGATGACATCGCCTATTGTTCCTATTTCTCGCCTATCGCAACTTACGAGTATCCTATCCAAGTCTTCACGGATAGTCAGTCGGCCCAGGCCTCCCGGTACATTCCAAAGATGACATCCCAGGACGAACCAGACAAATCAAGACTCCTGCAAACGCGACAGATACCCCGAGGCAGGTCGCGAGGCAGATACACGGCTCGATAGGCTAGCAAGTTACAGCAGCACAGCAGTCTCGCCGCCAGTACCTTGCCTGTCTATACCGTAGCCGAAACAAAACCGCAGGGACGCAAAATGTTTCCCACTCCACGCAATCCCGTATACTTGCGAACCCCGCCCAATCTCGGCCTTTGAAACCGACCGTCCGCCCACGACTCTCCCGGGACGTGCAACTTTGGGGGCCTTCCATTAGGCTTTGAGGCCATGTTCCTTGCTGGAGGATCCCGGGAACCTGCACTAGAGCCAGAACCATTCTCGAACCTCTCTTTTCGCGACAACTCCAATCGAGGCCGTCAAACCTACACTGCGAGTACCCACGCAACAGCGCCGCAGCAGTTCATGGGTGCGGATAGTGCCTCTACCTCTGCCGCACTACCGTCTGCCCTGACAGACGCCCCGCTCTCTCGAGATGGTCCCTTCAAAAGAACCAAAAGACCTCAAAGTCACAGGTTCCGAGCGGAGACCGAGGCCGAGAAACACTCAACAATCTTCTACATATTACCATTACCCATGGTTCGAGGTGCGGAAGTGCCCCACCAGATCTTCGGCTACTTTGGACCCCGATGACATGCTCGTGCTGCCACGGCCTTGGCTTGTTTCTGACCACAGAAGAGCAGCAGCCCAGTCTTCCCCGCGTCTAAGCAACTGCTTATTCGCCATGTCCGGTGTATGTTCATTCGAAGCCCCTTTGTCGATGGAAATTGTCTTTTGGATTTTTACCATTTGACTTGGCTGCAAAACATGCGTTTCTCACTTGCAGCGAAGCAGCTGTCAGCCTGTCACCACGCACGAGAACTTGCCAGCAGTATCCTAGTGACTACTGCACACTCCGTACAGTAGGTATTCCCACACTCGCTACTACTGATGCGGACAGGGGACCCCTTCGGATGACCACACCCATACGTCAGCAGTGCCATCAGCTTTCAGCTTTGCATGTGCCGCCTGGCTGCGCTAGCTCCCATCTCGAGCGTTGGGAAAACCCACCGACCCAAGATGTTGATTGGTTATGGTGTGTTCTTCTTGCCGAACTAGAAGCTCGAAGCCTCATTCCCGCGTGGCTGTGCAAGGCTTGGGCGAGTTCCCAACTCTCTCACTCGTCAGTCTTGCTTTTGCAGCTTTCGAACTTCAGTGTTCAGAGCCTTTGTCGCCACTTGGAAGCGCTCGCGTGACAAAACACGATTCTCCTGGTTGCCGATTCCTGGAACGGTGTTTGATAGTGCTTCTTGGCAATATAATCCCAACCCGCTCATTTGCTGGGTTTATTTTAGAGGCACGAGAGAAAAGGCTTCACCAGCTCGATGGGAAAGTTGGTCAACGCCTCTTCGGAGGCCCATTCGTGCCCGACTCCTAGAGTCTCTAGGATTTGTGGACTGGTAAAGTCCACTCCAGGCGGCCCGCACACCGAATGCCGTGATCCTTGACCGGGCCCTCCGTCCCGTATCAAGGGTTCGCTTTCTCCTCTCGTCATTTGTGTCCGCCAACGTGTATCTTCTCAGACGCAGACTCTTACTTCGGTCATCGTGTTGAGAACATGGTACTTTTCATCCGACTTGGCAACGGAAGATGCGGGCCCATGGCGACTGACTACTTCGACTGCGGGCGTCTTCCGTGTCTCCAAGCTTCTTCCTTGGGGCAATGTCGTCAACCGGTTATTTACTGCAACCTAGGCATGCCAGCGGCCAAATCATGGTGGAGGAGAAGATCCCATCATCCCATGAGGTCCTCGGGGCCGGCGTGCTGTTCATCACATTCGGGGTTCTCGACCAGCAATGAACAAGAGGCTGGGAGAACCCGGAGAGAACGGATCAACAAACACCGGGTGCCTCCTTGCTCGGGGCCCACTTATCGGCTCGGGGCAAGCCGCGCCCGGAGCTCCCACAACTGTTGACCTCAGCAATGTTTTCAATGGACCCAGGTCGGTAGCAAAGAGAACAGACAGAGTCATACTGGAGAATTATTGAACCTTCAACAGGTCACCAAGCCGTAAAGATCCCCTCTATCGAGCCTGTAGCCAAGTCCATGCCCGGCCTGCTTCGTCTTAGGAAACCATTCCTCATGCCTGGAACAAATACGTCCACATAGTACCTGACTAGGTAACGGGCCCTACAAGTTCAGATAGCATGCGTAAGAAGGCAACTTAGATTTGCGACAATTCGTCTCAGCCTTGCCGCCGCAATTGCGATGGTCTCAGGCGCGGATGACGAGATAAATCCTATTTCCACCATGCCATTTGCGACTTCTTCACGCTACTGGCATTGCTTCACGGCCTGGACTTGGCTACAAGCGAATATCAATATTGCATGATCCCGCGCATGTATAAGCTCCCAGCCCCCGACAGCTGTATTCCCTGCTACCAGGGAGGGTCCTCCCTTCAGATCATCAATTACCGAGGCCTGAGATGCACTTGGTGGCACAAGGCGAAGCTGCTAGGGTTTTTTTAGTGTATGTGCGGCAGTACCTAGACGCAGTCCTGAGAGCGCGATGGAGTATTGAAGTTCATAGGTAGTAGAGCATCCGTATATATAAGGTAGGTAGCCTGCCTGAGCTTTTGGACGCGGGGCAATGTGTTACACGGTGTGGATGTCCTGCACAACGCGGAGGCGGACGATGAGGCCCAATAGCGCAACGCGTGGGCTGGAAAGTGTAGCTGACGGAGCAAAACAGCCGATAGGAGGCGGATGCAATGGAAGCTGCTGAGACTCGATCGTGCAAGCTCAATTGGCCAGCTGCAAAGGGGGATGGAGTGAGGAAGGTGAAAAGGGTCTGATGTGGTGGGACTAGAGGCCTGCAGCCATGCCTTCCGACGCGGGTAGAAAGTGTAACTTGGGAATCAGCCAAGCAGAAGGTGTTCCCTCTTTCGCCATTGTTATGCTGCCATGCTGCCACGCTGCCCAGTCTGTCGGTCAACCCAAGCCTGGACTTGACATATTCTCTCTGGCGGACCTCGCGGCGCTGCGGCGCTATTCGCCAGTCGACCGTCAGACTACATTAGCCGACCTGACTGGGCTGCCACGCCTCGTGTGTGGCGGCGGTAGCACCGATTGGTATCGTGCTGCAGTGGTCGACAAGACACAGACAGACAGATTTGGATGGGCATGAATCCAATGATGATAGGGGATGAGATGTGTAACGGATGACAGGTGGCAGGGACCGTGACCAGGCCAGCTCAGGTCCATAAACTCACCCGACGTCAAAAGTCAATTGTATCGAGGCTGTATCCGTGCTAAACGCCATCATTTTCTACTGGGCTTCGTGACCTTGAGAGCACACAACCAAAGCTCAGAATGACCTTGAGGAACTGCGGGAGATGGGCGTGAGTGAGTAGGTGAGTGGTGGGAGTGAGATGTGAGGGAGCGGACTGGCGTGGCCTTGGACGTGACGTCCGAGGCATGCCCAACGGAGCTGCCTTGCAGCACAAGGTTGTACAGGTGGCACCAGTAAATGGCAGTGATTCAGGCAGGGTGCATGAGAGAGACCAGTTATCAGGTCTTTTTGGACGCCTAGCAGCACGGCAAAGGCGTGAGGAGGGAGGGGCAGTCGAGGCAGCGGCGGCGGCGGAATGAGGGGCACACACACATTACATACCTTAGTACACTACACTCACCGGGCAGACACCACACACACTCACACCTCACACACGCGAGGTGGTATACTCAGCCCAGTCAATCTGCATGAGTTGTATACCTAATACCTTACAGGTTGCCCAAGAACATACATGGAGGACGAGTGACGGGGATGTTTGATGTCTGCGCAAGGTGAGAAAAGTGGCCGCCATGGTTTTGAGCTTGGCGGAATTACCAGATTGGAGTGAGCCGAGATTGGACAAGACAGAAAAGGATTCAGCCAGGAACAGATAATGAAGCCACTGTAAGCAGGGAGAAAGAATAGCGCTTCATGACACGATGGGGAGTGAGTGACTGGTTGAGTGAGGTGCATCTCAATGTCGGAGAGAAGTCACCGCCAGCGCAAGGTGAAGGAAGGAAGCTCCAGGGTGCTCCACTCTCACTTCTGCCCGCCTTGCTGCACGGACCACCAGCGAGTACCTGGTGAGCCTTGATTGGCCCGTCGCAGAAGAGGCAGGATCGGCCCAGAGCCTTTCCACCTCTTTCCTGCCTTTCTCCCGCAACGAGGCTGTATGTAGACTTCCTCGGTACCTCTTCTGACCCCCCCAATTATCACTGCCCACGACAATTCAGCCATCGCCCAATTCCTCCAGTGCTTGCCTTCCAAAACTTTCCCCCTCCATTGAGCGCCTCCATGATCATAACGCAACTCAATCCCAAACCGCGTTTGTACAAATTGTCTTCCCATTGACAACTGTAGATGGAACAACCCCAGCCATCCAAGAAGCGGCGGCTTATGCCAAAGGAGTCGCCGTCAAATCACACCACACAACCGGCTCCTTTCCCCCATGAATCGGTGAGGATTCTGTTCTGCGCTCCCGTAGCTTGATTTGAGCTGCTGGAATTAACCGTCTCTTGAACCCATTCAGCCTCAGCAGCACCCAACCCAGGAGGCCCCTCCAGCCGAACGCCATGACTTCGAATCCTTCGCGAGGCATCTTCAAGATGCTGCCATGCTGATCCAGCGCCAAACCGAGCGCGCACCCTACGATAGCGTTTCTGTGCTTCTACTGCGCTGGGAGGAGGATACTTCGGTCGAGGCTGATTTGACGGCTTTGGAAAACATACTACGAGACCGATACAACTACCAGACGAATCGATGGGCCATCCCGACCGTACCCAACCCCAGCATCAAGCTTGGGGTTCAGATGGCTTCTTTTCTCGAACATGCCCGACCAAATCACTTGCTGATCATCTACTACGCCGGTTATGCATATGTTGGATCAGATAACCAGCTCTACTGGGCTTGGTGAGTCGAGAATCTACTGCAAAACACGTCTCCACACCGTTCTGACCGCCCTTCCATAGCAATATCCGAGAAGATGCTGCAAAGCTCAAGTGGGATGGTGTACGCTGCCTGTTTGAAGATGCTCAGTCCGATATTCTGTTGTTGCTCGACGCCTGCTCCGTTCGTGATATACCCGTGTCTGGAAGCCATGGCATCAAGCAAGCCATTGCAGCTGGCGGTCCTGAGCAGAATCCCAGAGAGGCTGCGGGCAAATCTTTCACATATCACTTGATTGAAGCTTTGCACAAGCTGAGCATCGCGGGCAGACCATTCAGTGTACCGAGGCTACACGAGGAGATTGTCCAGTTGAGGCAGCAGGAAACCGCACAAGCAACTAAACTCACAAACGGTGCCACCAAAACTCCGCCACCATCACCGCAACTTCCCATTTGCTTCACCCTTACACCTGGAAAAGGTCAAAGTCTGAGCTTAGCTCCCTTGCCTGCTCGGGCGGGTCAACAGCAATCGCCGCGCAATGGGTCTGATGGGGAATCACTGTCGAGGGATGTGCGCGAAGACCAGCTCATTGACCCTGAATCTGTTGCTGATTTACGTTTCGATGAGCCACGAGTGCTTGTGTGCACCACATTCGTGGGAGATGCCAGTCCAGACATGTCTTTCTTCAATGGCTGGCTTCACAACACGCCACCCTTGGCTGCCAAGATCGAGGTTGAGGGAATGTTTCTCGGTCCGCCCACCATGCTTCTAATATCAATGCCCCATTCAATATGGAACGTCGTACAGCACGATAAGGTCTGCTGTTTCCTGGGATACATCACATCACATAACATGATTCACCTGTACCAGAAGCTCAAAGGCTCTGCCGGGATCCCTAAAGTTACAGCAAAGGAAGTCGAGGACGGACGCATCTTGTTGGAAGCGCGAGAGCTGGCGGCAAGTACACCATCTATGCACCAGCGCTCATTAGACAGCAAAGACGCATCTTTCCACGAAACGGCGAACCGCGTCGACACCACGCCGGCCAGCGTGCCGTTTGCAGCGGCTGCTGCTGCTGCCGCAGTTGTTGATGGCAAGGACGATGTTGAGGATTCGGCCGAGATGCAGGAAGCGGCAGAGCAGCTGAAAGCTCTCAGCCATGTTCGCCACTTGAGCGATGAGGCACCGCCAGCCGTGGAGCGGCAACGTACGACTCTGCCAGATGGGGCGATGCCTGCAAACCACGAGGATACCGGTTCATCCCACGATGCGAATGAGTCTGGTGCAGACGACACGATGCATTCGATTGACATGAGTACACCCAATGCGAAGGCCAAGCATCGACGATCCTTGCAGAAAGCGACACCGAAGCAAGAGACGAGGTGCACGTTATGTACTCATGCTCCCTTTAAGGATTCGTCGTCACTGCGCAAACATATTGCGGCCGCGCATACAAGGCCGTTCCCTTGTGCCTTCTCGTTCGCGGGCTGTACGAGCACCTTTGGCTCCAAGAATGAGTGGAAGCGTCACATTGCTTCCCAACATCTCTGTTTGCAATACTATCGGTGCTCGTCCTGTCCACAGAGCACAGTCGAGGGCAAGGGCAACGAGTTCAACCGGAAAGATCTCTTCACCCAACATCTTCGTCGCATGCATGCACCTTTCGCGATCAAGAAAGCCATTGCCAAAGGAGACAGTAAATTGCAAGTTGAGTGGGAAGGTCACGTCAAGGAGATGCAGACAACTTGCCTCGTCACACGCCGGTCGCCACCTCAGAGGTCGGCATGTCCCAAATCAGATTGCCAAGTCGTCTTTGAAGGGCCTGGTTCTTGGGACGAATGGACAGAACATGTTGGCAGACATATGGAGAAGGGTGAGGGCCAGCGACTCGGTGTTGATCGGCTGCTGGCAAAGTGGGCTTTTGAAGAAGGTATCATCGAGCGGAAAGACGACGGCGAGTATCGTCTTTGTGCCGGAAATGGCCCTGGCAACGGTGGTGGCCCTATCGGTGGAGACTCGAAAGACTCGATATCGGTGGCA